CATGAACTAAAATTAAGTTTTTATCTTAATATCTCTAAATTACTTCAATATTTTGTCTGTTTTCAACCTCGGCAGTTCAGCAACGCTTTTCTATTATTTCGGCTTACATGTGAATAGGTATGAATTTAGAGCAAAGGGGGAAAATGCATGCACTAAAGATCTAAGGGACATACAACTCATATTTTCTGTTCTATTCGGCCGAGAAAAGCCACTCGTTTCTAAAGCTAGGACCAGATGCAATGAAGAGAGATATTTGCAAACTTTGGTAAAATGGGTGTAAGAGGTAAAGACTAAACTTAATATCAATGTTAAAGCATGTGGATTTTACTACACTAATTCGTGTGATCTTCATACAGACTAAGGCGAAGAAGGCAAAAAATATGCCGAGGATTTGAGTGAAGGTGTAGCGTCCCTCCAACGTCGTGACAGCTCTGGTGAACTAGCGTTCAACAAGCGGGCAACATCGGAAGGGCGAATAGTTAAAAAATCGGAGATGAGCAAGCGGATAGAACTGGTGTGATGCTTTAGTGGTGTTGTTAAGGCTTGATACGACTTTGCCGAATGCCCGCCTACACTACGGATAAAAAGAATGGCAGAAAAATGCAAGATTTCTCGGCAGACAGAGGCAGCAGGCAATGCTTCGACATCTCCTCTGTTGGTCGAGAGTTATCAGAGACTTTGACAACTCCAGAGGGATTGCGGAGTTCTTGTCCTCTCTACCACGAGATGTAAAAGTGTTTGTAGCATGCCAATGACCATGTATAACTGTATAATGCTATGCATATTCGTTTGACTATATGCATTTGTGTAGGCATCATTCGTGCTGGCATCAAGGTGCATTCTAGACGTGACTAGCAGTTGTATCCTTGCACCGTTCCCACAGTATTCATTCGAGCGTGCTGATTGGATTGGACAGGGGCGGAGAGGAGAAATGGGCAAAGTGGAGCAAGGGAAAGGAGAGGGAACTAGTATGCGCAGTAGAGGAGCACATGCGGCGGGGTGCACCTTCGATCCACTCCACTCCCTCCATCCTGGTCGGATCGTAGCCGTTCGGATAGCGCGCCTTGAAGATGGGCATTTGTGCACGCACCTTGAGAAGACGTCGTTCGACTGAACAGATGAGATTGTGTGCAGTTGGTGTGCATTGTGAGATTAGACGTAAGCGGTAGTTACGACATAATGTGCAGATGTGAACCAACACGAAACAGGAAACCATGGAAAAGGTAACAAGGGAGGACAGCCTTAACTTAATCATGTTTGCAATAAACGTCTATACAAGAATGCAAAATGGCAGCGCCAAGTCAGGCAAATAGACGAAAGACAAATAAAGAAATTAGTCTGATAGGCTCGCATGCATACCTTTACATCTCTTAATCGAGGCCCACATGTAGGCA